CGACAGCCAACACCAAAGTTACGAAATCTCTTAAAAAACCGGGCATAAAAAACCACATAAACACACAGAGAACTAATGGGCGAGGTTATTACTTACAATTGGCTTGTTGCGACAAAAGCGCGTCTACCACATACCTATGTACAATTGCATCCTACTTATTAAAAACAATATTCGGTTTTGGTTTCGCAAATGAAGTTGCACGATTCATTTTCCTTTTGCTGCCCCAGTTTAAACAAAATAATGGTAGACATATAATAATATATTACGTAAATGTATAACCACAAACTCAAACTAAGATATTACATTACGTAAGTGTATAATTACCTGAGATGTGATTTATTTGAAATACTTGCATTTAAAATGTAAATACAAAATAAAAAATACCTTTTTTTTGCATTTAAATACTTTTTTGAGAAAAGCATTTTGTATTTTATTTAAAATACTTTTCCAAATGTATTATCCATTTTCAAAATGCATTTTTGCCTTAAAAGGTTTTGCTAAAAATGATGAATGAAAGTTGTTCACATTGGCTATTGAAGGTATTAGAAGCTTATAAGGGGAACAAACAAACATTCCATGAATGCTTTCTAATTGTTTAACTGAAGAGAGTCCAAAAACTTCTAAACTCCTCGAAAATGGATAATCTAGAATATTGGATCGATATTGTTTTCCGGGTTCAATGCCAAGGCCCATGGAATTTTAAAGTTCCAAATTGGTATCAGCACCTGCCAAATCAGGAAGGAACTACGAAATTCTATGAATTACGACAAAACAGCCCCCAAAACAATATCGAATTGATATACGCCAGCTGTGTAAACTGAAAACTAGAAGATATTGGGTAGTGCTTATAAATGTACATAATCCAAAATTCTTAGAAAACTATTCGAAAAACTTCACTTATTAGATGAACCCAAAGCTAAAGAAACTTATGGATTCCATTTCGTTCTCTTTTTACAATGTGTAAAAGATCAGAAACAAAATGGGGTTGTAAATATTTTGATATAAAATGATTGATCTTGATTTTACATCAAATGTATTTAATAGGTAAAATGCAGAATTTCAAGGTAGCATTTTTTCATTTTAAGTTTGAATATTTGATGACTCAAAGTCAGTCGATCTACTTTGGCAGAAGACTTATAAAAATATACTATATTTCTTTATCATAAGTAGATTAAATTAGATTACTTATGGTATCTAGTAGATGAATAGGAATGAATAGCAACAATTTGTTCTTTGTAGTTGTAGCGGTTTTTGTCGCTATAATGCCCTGGTTCTGTTATCCCGTAGAACACCCAAGGCAAAAGGTTACCATCAGATTAAATGGTTTTCTCGCAACGTCACTTGTAACTGCGAAGTGATCGTGAATTTATAATGTGAAAGGTTGAACGGTAATTTGTGCACGGAAATGACTTAATAACCGCAAAGTTCAATGACATATTTTGATTTTTTTTTTGTTTTATTACTAAATGCAACACACCAATTGTGATTATTATTTACGAAAGCAATTGCTGCATTTTATATACCATACAGGTCAGGCAAAAATTTTGCTGAACATAGAAATTACACATGTCTTTTTGGGTATTTTTTCTTATGTTGCACGAACGAAAATGCAAAATTTTGGAATATCTAGTCTAACCATGTGTATCTAAAAATATTTTCTGCTTCTTTGATAACTGTCTGGAAGCTGACGCCCAAAAAAAAAAAAACATTTCTTCCAACTTTTTGCAGCCTGGTACATCAACTTTTTATGTAATTTAGAGTATTTGTTCTTAAACCATAGATAGGCGGAATCTAGGTCCACTTCGACATAAGAAAAGGGCGAAAAACCGAAAAAAAATGTCGGCCTAACCGCTTTTGTTTTGAAGGTGTAATTTAATTAAAATACTACATATTGCTTGAAAAACAGTGACAGAAAAAATTCATGGACCATTTTTCCGTGTGTGAAAAAAAAAGAAAAAAAGTGAACCCTATCGGTTAGGGTTCACTTTTTCATTCGGTATCCAGTAAAATGGAATAGCCGCAGAAATTTTGGTCGGGCCATTTTTTAGTAATTCGACATCAAAATGTCGAAAATTGAATCGAAATTGTCAAAGAAAGTAAAAATATGATCAAAATTAAAAAAAAATTCTGCTGTTTCGCTTTTAGGTCCCATTAGTGTCAAATAACCAGAAAATACTAGTGGCAGAAATTTGCACTCTCCGTAAGTCAAATAATAGTCCAAATGCACCGTTTATAAATACACCCTTTTAAGGGTTGGTAATAATTAAACAAACAAACTCACATTTGCATTTATAATATTAGTTAAGATTATTATATTTTAGGAAAGACGAAAGCACGATTTTTTTTGTACCAAGCGGTATTTTTCAAAAGATAATAGAATCATTCCTATGTTTAGTTGTCAAGTCGCCACTAGTGTATATGCATAGATAACAGGTAATTAAGCAACAATTTTACGTTAAACACTGAACTGCATTATTATTAGTCAATGTAACATAAAAAGTGTTCCGGAAAGAATAAAAAAGTTTAGTAAGTAATATTTGTTTAAAACATTATTAATTTTAGTCAATATGTAATTCTGTTGTAAATGTGAAAATGACTGCAGCTTATATTAGTCATCATACTTTTTCTAACAAAATGAATCATTCAAAAGTATTGAAAATGGTATCGTACCAAAATCAATGTTTAAACACAGCACTGTAAAATTATTTACTTTATGGTCTAGAAAGAGCTACTAGTAAAGGATACTGAAAGAGCTACTCGTGATATAAAAATCGCGACAAAAAATTAGAAATTGCTGCTTTTCGGTATTTATCAGGAAGTCAGATAAGGGTCCCGCACAGCAACTTTTTAACTACTGAAATGGAACACATTAAATTAAACGAAAACATGCGCAAGGACAATTTTTAAACAGCAACAAAACTGTGCTCATGTCTGTCTTTGCGCATCGGCGATTATTTAATTGCTGTGGTAACACACTTCAGTACAGTATAATAAAAAAAGAAGTCCAAAATTGCATTATAAAAATGTCGTAAGATATTGTATTATTTCCAATGTTAAATGGGACAAGATGTTAAATATACTTAAAAATGTAGGGATGAGTTACAAAGATAGAAGAGTGATACTTAGTTTGTATAAAGAACAACAGGCAGTTATAGAGCTAGGGATGCAACGTAGAGAAGTACATATTAGGAAGGGAGTCAGACAGGGATACACACTGTCATCGCTACTTTTTAATCTATACATCGAAGACGCGATCAACATCATTAAAGACAGTACAACTGTAGGGATAGACATACTGGGACAAAAGATCAGTATGCTTAGATTTGCAGATGATGTAGCAGTATTAGCATCTAGCAAGAAGGAGTTAGAGATAGCTTTAAATAAAATGGAAGAGGTGTTGATAAAACAGTATTGTATGAAAACAAATAAAAGTAAAACTAAAATATTGGTATGCAAGGGAAGAAAAGGTAGGGAAAGAGCGAATATAAAGATAGAAGACGAAAAATTAGAAGAAGTGACCGATTTTAGGTATCTACGAATTAGATAAGTCAGGACGGAAGGAGTAGTAGGGATATAAAGCAGAGGATAGTGCAAGGTCGTGTCGCCTTTAATAAAAGGAAGTCACTTCTATGTTCGGGAACGGTTAATTTAGAAATTCGAAAAAGGTTGTTAAAGGTGTATGTTTGGAACGCGGCGTTGTACGGGTGTGAAACATGGATAGTGGGCGCGGCGGAAAAGAAAAGGTTGGAAGCGTTCGAAATGTGGTGTTATAGGCGAATTATGAGGATACCGTGGACATAGAAGGTTAGAAATTAAGAGGTATTAGAAAGAATAGGAGAACAGAGGACTCTATGAAAACCAATAAGAAATGAAGGTCTACTTGTCAGAGACATATTAGAGGCAGAAACAGAAGTTAGGAGGGGTAGAGGTAAACCTAGATTAGATTACTGTTCGCAAATAGTTAAGGATGTGGGTTGTTCTAGTTTTAGGGAAATGCGAAGTTTAGCTCAGGATAGGATAGAATGAAGGTACGTGTCCAACCAGTCTTAGGACTGACAACCTTATGATGATGATGGAAAAACCACCACCACTTTATTCCATGAAAAATTACAATTTTCGAATGTAAATGACTGAATTTGCCGTAGCAATTGTAGAATTTATTAGGTAACTTGTAATGATCTCNTTAATTGCTTTCCCGGAACGCAGGTACGACACACACGTTTACAGATACGGCGCACATGAAGAAAAGCGCCCGCGGCTAGTCGGCGAATCGATAAGCCGCTCACACACACGTATGCCCGATCGCACACAATCACGCTCGTGGTCGCTACAATATGTATACCTGATAGGTACGCAAACTAAATTTATAAGAACGGTACAAGTTTTTGGTCTTAAATTGTTTTTATTAATTTGATAATTTTAAATGCTTCATTGAATTTTAAAACGGGAATATTTTCTCCTGTCTTTTTAATTAACAGAATTGTTACCTAAGTAAACAAATTGGAGTCTAACACAATTAGAATAAATACTGCATAAGTATTCTTTTTTAAACACTACTCCCAAATTGCTATATCAGTAAATTTTAAGTATAAGATGAAAAAGAGTAGGTAGAGGTAATTTAGAACGACATGAACATTGACCTTGGATCGCGCAGTGATAAAATTCTGCTTGTTCATTGATTTAATACACTTTTGCTTCTTAAAAACATTGACAGATACTGTTTATAGTTGATCTGGAGTGTTACCTCTGGTTGCATTGCGAGACAAATAGTTAACAACTGAATCAATGTTGAATATGATAAGGCCCGCCTTTTACGAACCTTAAAGTTCATGTCATTCTAAACTACCTATACCTACGAAAAATTTTCATATTATTCCTAAACGTCTCTAATCCGTTTTTATACTGTTTCAATAAATTTTAAAAAGGAACCAATATTTTTTCTTACCTTTCTAATGACCAGGATTAACACATAGCTACAAAATAAGGAATAAAAAGGATACATATATTCTGTCCTTGCCGTATCGTACTTTGAGATTCCTGTTGACTGTGTCCTCGTTTAATTGTGACAAACGGGTCATGTCTGGCACCCCATCTTCTGGAATGGAACATTCTGAAACGAAATAAAGACTGTTGAATTGGTATCCGATAAAAAATTCCACTTTCGTCATGAAAACAAAATCGATTCGGCACCTGTCTTGTGTCGTAAAATTAAACGGCTGAGAAAAAACCCTGTTTACCCAACAACGAGTAGAATTATTGTCTTAAAAACAAAGGAACAACTGAAAATGTTTTGGAAATAGACCGGTCACTGATTTAATCTTAATGGTTCTTCCACGCCGATACTTCTATTAAGAATACGTATTATTTAAGTCCCGTTGATGTATCACTTATTGGTTTACGAAAAACAAATCCCAAGAAAAAAATCAATTACCAATTAATCACAACACACATTCATTATACAGGGTGTAGTCATGAAGTGTACAAAACAAAGGAACATTTTTAAAATATTTTGTGTTTAGGCCTATTACTTTGTGGATAACTACAGTGTTCCTGATGTTTGGATATTGAACAAAGTGAAGTTGCTTTACGGAGGAATTTTTATTACAATGGCCTTATTCTTATTAAGTAATTAATAAATACTACGTAAGATGTTGATATAGAAAAAAAAAACAAATATTTTTTTTTTTAAATTCTGACTTTCGTAACTTTCGACTTTAATTTAAAATTTTCTCTTACAATTCAATATTTTGACATTCAACTAGAAATTTCGACTTAGAATTCCAAATTTCGCCTTGTATATTGAAAGTTTGACTTGTAACTCCGAATTTAGACCTACAACTCGAAATTTCGACTTGTAATTTGAAATTTCCTATTACAACTCGACATTTTGACATTCAACTCGAAATTTCGAATTAGAATTCTAAATTTCGCCTTGTAAATTGAAATTTTGACTTGTAACTCCGAATTTCGACCTACAACTCGAAATTTCGACTTGTAATTTGAAATTTCCTCTTACAACTCGACATTTTGACATTCAACTCGAAATTTCGACTTAGAATTCTAAATTTCGCCTTGTAAATTGAAATTTTGACTTGTAACTCCGAATTTCGACCTACAACTCGAAATTTCGACTTGTAATTTGAAATTTCCTCTTACAACTCGACATTTTGACATTCAACTCGAAATTTCGACTTAGAATTCTAAATTTCGCCTTGTTTTTCCTTTTACATTTCGAAATTTTACCTCGTAATTTGAAATTTCCTCTTACAATGCGAAATTTCGATTTTAAACGCAAAATTTCTGTCGTCTATTGAGTTACCAATCAGTGTTGTGATAATTGCTGTCTGCTATTCAATTACCTTATGTTAGGTTGGGACTGGATTACGTTAGGTTACGTTGCGATTCAATGAAGATTTCGAGTTAAAAGAAAAAAAGTTTCGAGTTGTAAGTCAAGATTTCAAAAAACAATTATGTTTGGTCTTTTTACGTCTTCGTACTTCTGTGCTCGCGATCGGTTGCTTTGAAAAATATTGTTAAAAGTGTTGACCGAATTCACTTCCTTACCGAAATAAGTACTTACTTCGCCATATAATCAAAGCCAAATGGGCTGTTGTATTTATTTTATGCATTTTGGCCAATAGGCAAATTCGGCAAATGAGGCTAACATAAGAACGACTCTGGCATATGGTTGTGAAGTGTAGAAGTTTAGAAAAGAGGAGATATTATAGGGGTAGATGAACAAAGAGCGCCATTGAAGCCAACAAAAAAAAGGAGAGAAACAACAGTAAGGTAAGTTGGAGACAGATTAAACTAATTAGAAGCTCAAATAGGAGCAGAGAAAGACTTAGATTAGATTATTGTTCGCAAATGTTTAGGGCTATGAGACGTTCTAGTTTTGGGGAATGGTGAAGATAGACTTCTTAGGGTAAGAAAGGGATGAGAGGTGCGGGCCCAACCAGTCTCTATGATGATGATAATTTTGCTTGACTAATTATGTCCTTAACAAGATATTTCTAAAATATCCTTTGAACAGTTACAGTTCTGAGTACTTTTAGATTACGTAAATTGGCTTATAATGTCAAAAAGAGTTTGTTGTAATTCAGCCACCTGACTGACAGTGAATAAATTAAAAGCTGTTGGGAATAACGTGACTAAAATAAGGGCGCGTGTAATAGAAATTATTTAAATGACAAAATAATCCCAATGGCACAAATCTAAATAACCAAAATTAATAACAATAAACGTGTTATTAAATTCTCTTTCAGTACAACAGTTCTCCAGCAAACAAAAAAATAATTTTATCGTACTACTTCAAAAAAAAAAAGTTAATGATTGTTCAAAAAAGGTCTATAAAATATTGATTTCACATTTACAAGTGTAATTACTTTTCCTTCATTTTTTTTGTAATCAATCTTTTGTACATACCAATGTTGTTCAATTAAATTCTATTTCTATCTTTTAAATCTTTTCCTGTATTTATGTTACTAATAGTAATAATTGGGTCTTTTTTGAAAAAACTCGAACGGTTTCGGATTATAAGCAATATTTAAGAATCAAATTTACAAAGTAAAATAGATTTTTTTTTGTTTCAAAATTGATCTTTTTAAAACAGATATTAGGATAAAGGACCAGGATATATAACGTATGAAAAATTGGCTTGAAAATTGGTGAAAAATGAATTAAGTACACCTCATATTCTAGCCACCCTTATTAAATTAAGGATATACTTAGGCGCGAATTGAATCCAGCCCAGATCTAAATTAGTTCTACGATGACTACAAAAGAGCTACTTCTAGATTTAAAATCTGCATCCACGAACGAAGAAGAAATTATTTCATTGCATTTACGAAAGGAAAAAAGAAAGAAAATTAAATAAATGCATATTTACGAAAAAGACAGAATCATGGAGAGTTTAAATTATCGAATAAGATTCAAACACTGTATTTAAAAGAGTCATTTCGATCAAATAGACAATAGTTTAGTGAAGTTCATCAATTAATTAAACAGGATATTACTGGTGGGATGTGCAATGCTCAACAACCTATTCGAAATGAGGAAAAACCATTTTAAAAATTATACAGTATATCCTAATTAATATTATAAATGCGAATATGAGATTGTTTATTACCATTTCACGCTTTAATAACTCAATTGTACATCATGAAATTTTGTATACACATTGTCAGGGGTACAGAAAAGGACATAGAGTACCTTTTATTCAGAAAAAAATACTGTTCTCAAGGGATAAAAAAGTTAATTTTACGTGGTCGCGGGTAAAACCTAGTTTCACATAAAATAAAGAAATTGGACGACCCACGACCTACGACCCACGAAAACTGTGTTCGCAATACAGAACTGCTCACGTGAAAATTAGTTGGGATTGTGCTCGGTGTGGAATGGGTTTAATGCTCTACCCTTTCTATAACTGTGTTTCACAGAATCATCCACACTAGGTTCATTCCCGAGAATTCTCGAGCTGAGAGTTCCCGGGAAATCGTTGGGCTTTGTTCCCGGGAAATCAAGCTCGAGAAAAGTCGAGAACTCGAGAAATCATGTACAGTCGACTCTCGTTAATTCGAAACTCGAGGGACTCTTAAAATATAACGAATTATCGAACAAGAAATCGGCTGTCTGATAAAGGTATAAATGCTTTAGTTTTTCTAAAAGCATATTTCATCAGACAGAGTAAGCTGACCTAATTGTTATGTATCTGTCTGTCTGTATGTTCAGCTCCTCAGCGTGAGATGTTCCATTGATCTTGCAAAGTTTTCATTTGTTTTTATTCTAATTAACATGCCATAAATGGTGCTGTGATTGTAATTTAATTATAAGTTAAGATATTAACGTTTTCTTTCATGTTGATTTTTTGTTTAGTTTAATAGAAGCTACTTTTGTTTATAAGTTCTAAATAACCAGCCAAAAATGGTGCTGTCATTATAATTATGAGTCTGAATAATATTGTTTCTGTATTTTTTTTAAAAAAGTTAATTAGCTTATTCATAAGATTAATGTTTTTGAATATAATCAATAAAAGTTTTATAATTATTGTGATATTTTTATTTGAGAAGAAAACTACTGAATTTGTTGACGTTATTGGAACCAAATAATATGAGAATACGTACGTAAATGTAAATTTCTCGGCAACTCGAGAAGCCTCGATAAATTAGCCTCGAAAATTCTCGAGACCCGAGAAATTGAAAAGCTCGAGAAATCATGAACCCTAATCCACACCCAAGCGTGGGCTATGCTGTGCTATGCGTGGGCTGGGTTCAATTTGGACCAGACCTTTAATGTTTTCATCGATATTTTTTACATTCTATCGATTATTAATACTTTTCTAGATTCCCAAACTTAAGTATGTAGTTTGAGGTATTTTTCGTTATCTTCGTTCTTTAACTATGAACATATAACATTATTGCGTGCGGTTTGTTATTAACTGCTTAATAGTGAAGGATAGACGGATAAGAAACTGTATCAATGTTGTGCTAATGGCTAAATAATGACGAGAATAACGAAAAATCTGTTCAGGATTGGGAATCTAGAAAAACCACGAATACCTATCGATAGAATGACAAAAAAACATTATGAAAGCATGGAGTAAGTAAATTTAAAGAAGATGAATAGAATTTTGGCTGTACTTGTTCATTTTCCGGCAATTCTCAGAGCAATTTTGCTCATCTTATGTTATGGACTCTCACCATCTCTTTGTAGTTTACAATTTAGTGGCAGATTTCAAACTCGAAGCGCTCAGATAATTTTCCAATTATTCAGAATTTCGAATATTCGATTATTACGTCATTTGCACACTTCTACTTTAACCTATTCATTGCCACCATTAATAACCTTTTACAACCATTTTATCCAATTAAATATTTTTTGTATCCTTTAAATATGTGAATCTTTCTGATTTATGTTACTAGGGCTTCTTTCGCCCTAGAGTATCGACAAGAGACCTGTAATGATTTCCTTCCGTTTTCCATTTTAACAGTTTGTATAAGAAGACGACCCCCTGCTTTGCCTGTTAATGTCAATTTCCGCTACCAATTCTCCCTTGACCTTCGCCTATTCATTCTTCCACCTTATCTTCTCTCCAACCCTTCTAAAACTGTACAACTTAAATGCAGTCGGAGTTGTCGACGAGAGTTGGGGAAATACCTTTTATACAGCAATTCGCTAAGGGTGACAACACATCGACCTACTTCTAACCACCCTATGGAACTGGCGGCAGCAGTTCATGTACATATACAAATGTATAATGTGTAAAAAGCATATGTGTAATGTGTATGTCTTTATATACGTTTGAACTAGTGCTTTGCAAGCACTTGAACTTTTCTTAATTAAAACTCTTTACCATTATTAAAAAGCTAAGCGCGAACCGTTGTTGTTGTTGTTGGAGAAGCCATTAGCAAAATCTCATTGCAAGTACTTACAAATATGTCTTCTAGTGGCATTCTTAACACTCGCAACTCTACTATGAATATCTTCACTATATTTATCACATTTTGGTATAAAAAGAAAAGAAAAGAAAGCATAGGTAACTAAGTGGGAGCACCCTGTCGAACTTTTTAAATTTTTAGTAAATATTATTTTAATATAGCAGTATTAGCATCTGGCAAGGAGGAGCTAGAGATAGCTTTAAATAAAATTGTAGCCGTATTGACAAAACAGTACAGTATGGAAATAAAAAGAAGTGGTTGATTTTAGGTATCTAGGAAGTCAGATAAGTCAGGGCGGAAGGAGTTGTAGGGATATAAAGCAGAGGATAGCGCAGGGTCGAGTCGCCTTCAATAAAAAGAAGTCACTTCTATGTTCGCGAACGATTAATTTAGAAATTCGAAAACGATTGTTAAAGGTGTACGTTTGGAGCACGCCACTGTACGGGTGCGAAATACAGGTGGTGGGCGTTGCGAAAAGAAGATTAGACGCGTGCGAAATGTGCTGTTACAGACGAATGGTGTGTGGTACTGTGGATAGAGAGGGTTAAAAATAAAGAGATATTAGAAAGAAGAGAAGAACAGAGGACTCTATGGAAGTCAATAAGAAATAGGCGAGATAAGTTAGTAGAACACCTTCTCAGGCATGAAGGTCTAGTTACGGTAGACCTAGATTAGATTACTGTTCGCAAATAGTTATGGATGTGGGTTGTTCTACTTTTAGGGAAATGCGAAGATTAACTCAGAATAGGAAACAGTGAAGGTGCGTGTCTAACCAGTCTTAGGACTAGTAACCTTATGATGATGAAGTAGTATTATTTTATTAATACCAGTTGAAACCAATTAGATGAATTCAGGAATTAATGATCAATGCATTACCAGTACTAAGCAATAAAACTTAGAATTTTCCCTCTTCTTCTAATAAAGTTTAAGTAAACATTTCCAATCCCTATTTATTTCGTAGTTTCACTAATAAAATAAATGACGCCCGTTTTCTAGAGCATACTTTTTGAAGATGTTCCACATAAAAATGAAAAGGAAATATTTTTGTCGGGTTTTAAAAAGCTCTTGCTCCTGGTTGGTTAAGTGTTACTTTCGGATAATTTATTTATTTATCGAAACTATTAGCTGTGGATAGCGATTTCGATCTTATTAGATTTTTATCAGCAAGCCATTGATAAAGCTTCCAATCTCGAAGCACCTTAAAAGCAGGTTGATATAACAATTAGTTACGGCAATATATCGCCGTCTGTCGATATTTTCTGTTAATTAAAGTATTTAATGTTAGTAGACAAGGGCCTTACTAAGCGATGTGTTTATAATATTGTAATGTTCGTGGGTTTAACAAATTAAATTTTAAGAAAACTATTTATTTACACTAATTACTATTAAACATAAAAACACTATTAAATTATTACTAAACTTCGGTAATTATTCTATTTATTTAAACTACTGTTACTATTCACTGCTCTATTTATTTCACTTCTATCACTGTCAATTTATCTCTTGATTCACTTCTGCAACGGTCAATGTATTTCTACCCTCCTTCGGCGATCGTCTCTTCCTTTTTATACTCCCTTGCCTCCTTTCAGGAACATTCTCCAGCCGCCCAGAGAAGTCTCGTTTTCTTTGAACGGTTTAATTGCTTTCTCGGAACGCAGGTACGACACACACGTTTACAGATACGGCGCACATGAAGAAAAGCGCCCGCGGCTAGTCGGCGAATCGATAAGCCGCTCACACACACGTATGCCCGATCGCACACAATCACGCTCGTGGTCGCTACAATATGTATACCTGATAGGTACGCAAACTAAATTTATAAGAACGGTACAAGTTTTTGGTCTTAAATTGTTTTTATTAATTTGATAATTTTAAATGCTTCATTGAATTTTAAAACGGGAATATTTTCTCCTGTCTTTTTAATTAACAGAATTGTTACCTAAGTAAACAAATTGGAGTCTAACACAATTAGAATAAATACTGCATAAGTATTCTTTTTTAAACACTACTCCCAAATTGCTATATCAGTAAATTTTAAGTATAAGATGAAAAAGAGTAGGTAGAGGTAATTTAGAACGACATGAACATTGACCTTGGATCGCGCAGTGATAAAATTCTGCTTGTTCATTGATTTAATACACTTTTGCTTCTTAAAAACATTGACAGATACTGTTTATAGTTGATCTGGAGTGTTACCTCTGGTTGCATTGCGAGACAAATAGTTAACAACTGAATCAATGTTGAATATGATAAGGCCCGCCTTTTACGAACCTTAAAGTTCATGTCATTCTAAACTACCTATACCTACGAAAAATTTTCATATTATTCCTAAACGTCTCTAATCCGTTTTTATACTGTTTCAATAAATTTTAAAAAGGAACCAATATTTTTTCTTACCTTTCTAATGACCAGGATTAACACATAGCTACAAAATAAGGAATAAAAAGGATACATATATTCTGTCCTTGCCGTATCGTACTTTGAGATTCCTGTTGACTGTGTCCTCGTTTAATTGTGACAAACGGGTCATGTCTGGCACCCCATCTTCTGGAATGGAACATTCTGAAACGAAATAAAGACTGTTGAATTGGTATCCGATAAAAAATTCCACTTTCGTCATGAAAACAAAATCGATTCGGCACCTGTCTTGTGTCGTAAAATTAAACGGCTGAGAAAAAACCCTGTTTACCCAACAACGAGTAGAATTATTGTCTTAAAAACAAAGGAACAACTGAAAATGTTTTGGAAATAGACCGGTCACTGATTTAATCTTAATGGTTCTTCCACGCCGATACTTCTATTAAGAATACGTATTATTTAAGTCCCGTTGATGTATCACTTATTGGTTTACGAAAAACAAATCCCAAGAAAAAAATCAATTACCAATTAATCACAACACACATTCATTATACAGGGTGTAGTCATGAAGTGTACAAAACAAAGGAACATTTTTAAAATATTTTGTGTTTAGGCCTATTACTTTGTGGATAACTACAGTGTTCCTGATGTTTGGATATTGAACAAAGTGAAGTTGCTTTACTGTTAAGTTTTGTTGGTGATGGCCTTATTCTTGGGTGTGATGGATCCTAACTGTGGTGCTTACCGAGTGTTTCTTAAGGTAGTCGTACGATGGGCATAACGTCAGAAAATTCTGAATTTTAGTATATTCATTGAGGATATTATAATACAATTATCCTTAAAATTTGAAGTCGATTGACCTCCTCTAATTCGAGATAAACTTAATTAAAGTTTCACTCATTAATATTGAGATTATATGCTATATGTAGTGGTTGTACCAGTTGATTAATTACAATAAAAAAACTATCATCATCATCATAAGGTCATCAGTCCTAAGACTGGTTGGACACGTACCTCCACTCTTTCCTATCCTGAGCTAAAATTCGCATTTCCCTAAAACTAGAACAGCCCACATCCTTAACTATTTGCGAAGAGTAATCTAATCTAGGCCTACCTCTACTCCTCCTAACTCCTGTTTCTGCCTCTAATATGTCTCTGACTAGACCTTCATGCATGAGAAGGTGTCCTACCAACCTATCTCGCCTATTTTTTATTGTCTTCCATAGAGTCCTCTAAAAAAACTAATAGTCAAAAATTTTCAAAAAATAAAAATTTATAAATGTTTTTGTTCTGAATTTGAAAAAAATAACAAATAAGTTGACCTTCCGGTAGTTTAGTTATAATGACGCAAAGTTTAAAAATTATGGAAAAAAACACACAAAAGCAATATAATTAGGCTATAAAGAAACTGGATTTCCGGATTCTAACCGTGTCTTATTAATGAAATCTGCTTGAGTATTCGCTTTTTGTCTCCTATCACAAGGGAAGTCTTCAGGAACTTGTTGCTGAACTGCTTACCGAAGGCAGGAAACGAAACGTCGAAAACTTTTGACGTTATCATGATTCGTCAGGTGGAATTCAATTTTATTTACGCTTATTTAAAAAGTATTTCATAAAAAAAATACCAACGACATTTTGAAATTAATAAAAAAAAACAGGATTTCGGTGGAGGCGCCAGACTGAAATATTTTAAAACCCGCTTTGATGGGTTCACATTCTCATTTATTCTAAACTGATGTTAGGTGGTCAACTAACAAACCTAAACGCACACCAGTTCGGGGCATATCTCATATATTGTAGATTTCAAATATGTTTTAGGACATTTTGGTCGAAATATATAAAAATGCTCTAATTTAGTGTCAGAACCCAGTCGTACCGCTCACATATTTCCGAACATTCTACTTGAAGACAAAACTAGGCATTCGAGAATATTTCGGCTGAGGACCACTCTACAAGCATTCAAGAACATTCTAGTATGTATATATATCCTCACTTATTCCAAACGAGTGTTTAGTGGGCGGTGGTTGACCCGCAAACTCGCACACACTCTAAATTGGTCAAATCTCGAATATTATGGGAGATTCCAAAGAATTTTTAGGACACCTTCGTAGAAATATATGAAATTGTCCTAATTTACATTTAGTGTCAAAGCCCACTTCCGCCACACATATATAATGGTTCCCGAACTAAGAGCCTAGAAGCATCCAAGAATATTCTAAACAGAGATTCTGAACAATTTTTGCACATGAAGTGCCCTAATACATATGTATCAGAAGTGATTGCTACCACTTATATGTATAGGTATAATAATTCTCGACGTTTCCGGTACAGTTCGTCCCAGTAAATAGCTGAGGATCATTCTAGAAACAATAAAGAACATTCGAGTACATTCTGATGTATTTTAAACGTGTTTGTTCGGAAGCCGGTAGCCAATTCACATATATCAAATTGGAGAAATATCGAACATTATGAGATTTCAAACATTTTTTAGAACCCTCATAAAAACATATTAGGAAAATGTACTAATACATATATATATAGTGCCAGAAGCCGGTCCCACCACTCACATCACAATATGGTCTTGGAATTTCTAGGAACGTTCTCGATTCTTCCGGTCACTTTAGAACATTCTACCTTAGGTCTTAGATTTCTAGACATTCGAGAAACACGGTAGAAAAATTCCAGAACATTCCAATACATTTTCACTTATTCTTCCGCAAACCCACGCACCCTCCAAAATGGAGAAATTTTGAACATTATACGAGATTGTAAACATTTTTTAGAAATACCTATGTGAATGTATCAGTAACACAATAACACAAAGATTATTTTGTACAACATATTGAACTGAATTTTATTGTTTGCCTTAAAATTACAACTAGGTTCTGAATTTCTGGGATTTCCAAGGAACATTTCGAAATTCTCTGATATCTTGATTCTTTAATGATTTGGATAAAATTCCTAACAGGTAATTATATGATTTGCAAGATTATTACAGACGCGTTTTCAATACCGCATAATAAAAAATATATTATTCCGTTTGATAGTATCTATAGCTTAACAGAAATATAATTAATAATAGTATAAATTATTTTGCAACTAATAGAAAAATGAAGACAGATAAGTTTTCAGATGAAAAGAATTTCCACTAGCCAGTTAAACGTTATTTTCTTTTGTTTAATAAACGAATATAATGTTCATTGAGTAAATTCGCCCTCATCGATCTCCCATTCATTTATTTCACTCTCATTGTTTTCATTCAGTTTTCCAAGTCAAGGAAGTCGTAGATAAAATCACTATTTACTGAACTGACCTGGCCATACCTATACATACATACAGACATAGACGTAAATTACCTAATAATACAAACGCATAACAAATGCTTTCGACGTGGCCAATTTTTCGTTTAGGAAATTGGGAACCAAGGTTATTGCCAACGCTAAAAGGAAACAACTGACCTCAATTTACGCGATTACGCCATATAAAAATCACCAACTTCCGCAATTCTTATCTATTCTTTCTTATTCTATCATAATTTCAGCTAAATAATCAATGTATGTAGTACATATATATATACCAAAAGAACAATAACTAACAAATACTATAAGAAAACGGTAAAAAATTGTGGATAAAAATAATGTACATACTTACCTACTTTCTTCAAAAGTTAATTTTGGATTTCCAAGCAAAATCAATTACATACCAATTTTAAAGTTTCTACTAATAACGTTAACTATAGGAAAGGACGCACGGGTGGGCTTCGGGAAGGTCAAGGAAAGTTTTGGCCCACCCTGAACATTAACTTAACTCGACAAAAGTAAAATTTAAAAATATTCAGTATCAGAAACAGCATGCGTCAAAAATCTTAACTAGAATTGTACAGAGGAGGATGGAAAAAAGGCGGAAGAACTATTAGGGGAAGGTCAATTTAAATTCAGAAGAAATAGAGGAACGCGGGAGGCCATTCTAGCTTTACGGGTATCAATAGAGAAAACGATAGAAAAAGGAAAGAGTGCGTACATAGGATTGGTAGATTTAGAAAGAGCTTTTGACAATGTTAAATGGGACAAGATGTTAAATATACTTAAAAATGTAGGGATGAATTACAAAGATAGAACAGTGATACTTACTTTGTATAAAGAGCAACAGGCAGTTATAGAGCTAGGGATGCAACGGAGAGAGGTAAATATTAGGAAGGGAGTCAGACAGGGATGCACATTGTCACCGATACTTTTTAATCTATACATCGAAGACGCCATCAACATCATTAAAGACAGTACCACTGTAGGGATAGATATACTGGGACAAAAGATCGGTATGGTTAGATTTGCAGATGATATAGCAGTATTAGCATCTAGCAAGAAGGAGTTAGAGATAGCTTTAAATAAAATGGAAGCACTACTGACATCAGTACTGTATGAAAATAAATAAAAGTGAAACTAAAATACTGGTATGCAGGGGAAGAAAAAGTAGGGAAAGAGCGAATATAAAGATAGGAGACGAAAAATTAGAAGAAGTGGCTGATTTTAGATATAAAGCAGAGGATAGCGCAGGGTCGTGTCACCTATAATAAAAAGAAGTCACTTCTATGCTCGCGAACGGTTAATTTAGAAATTCGAAAAAGGTTGTTAAAGGTGTATGTTTGGAGTGCGGCGTTGTACGGGTGCGAAACATGGACAGTGGGCGCTGCGGAAAAGAAAAGGTTAGAAGCCTTCGAAATGTGGTGTTATAGGCGAATGATGAGATTATCGTGGGTAGAAAAGGTTAGAAATGAAGAGGTATTAAAAAGAATAGGAGAACAGAGGACTCTATGGAAGTCAATAAAAAATAGGCGAGATAGGTTGGTAGAACACCTTCTCAAGCATGAAGGCTAGTCAGAGACATATTAGAGGCAGAAACAGGAGTTAGGAGTGGTAGAGGTAGACCTAGATTAGATTACTGTTTGCAAATAGTTAAGGATGTGGGTTGTTCTAGTTTTAGGGAAATGCGAAGTTTAGCTAAGGAGTGGAGGTACGTATCCAACCAGTCTTAGGACTGACGACCCCATGATGATGACAGAAACAGAAATGCTATGGAGACATACTGTGAGGGCTTTAATTTGTCGCTGAAAGATGGTACTGTTACCGATTTTGTCACTAATCTTACCCTTTAGTTGACCATGAAAAAACGACTGGAGTGCTGCAACCCGGCACTACACATAGCGC